CATAAAAGCTTGTCTGTGTTAATGTCATTTCAAAAAACCAAACACTAAAATATCATAAAATTGGGTGACAACACTTGGTCCTTGTCTCCTAATTGCAATCATGCATTGTCACCCCATCATACAGACTTCCAAGGGAGAACATAAATGGCTCATTTAACACACATTATGCAGGCATAGTCCATTGTTGGCACCATCAGGAAACCCTCCCTGGGGAAATGCCCTGCAGCTGTAAAGCCAAAATGTGAACTCAAGTGCTTTAGTGAAGTAAATGCCATTCAGTTAGGGTTTATTATTATTATTATACAGTGTTTATATAGCGCCAAAAGGTTTGCTCAGTGCTGTACATTAAAGTGGGGGGACAGTACATGAGACAATACAGTTACAATACACGAGGGGTATGAGGGCCCTGCTCTTTCGAGCTTACAATCTAGGGTTTACATCTACTTTAACAACTTTTGATTTAGTAACAGCAAATAGACTGTGCACTCTGCAAGTGCAGTTGCACTACTTTTCCTCAGATTTCTATCATATAATCACATGCAAGCAAAAATACAGTTTTTTTCCATGCTCCTGATTGGGTATTCTTTACAAAGTGAAGCTTCACCACATTCACTAAGCTCTGGGGAAAATGAGCACAACTGTACTTGCAAAGTGCACAGTCTATTTGCCTTTAGTAAACCAACCCTATAGCATTGCACAGAGAGAATGGGAAGTATATCTCAACTACGTGAAAAAAGTTTTTAAAGTATTACCACAAAGTGATAGGATTATTCATTAGAAATGAAACTCCTGTTTGTCTAAAATCACAGAATTCTCTTTGCATTCTCTTTAAAGCGTAGCTGCTGACTTTTAATATACAGCCACTCACCTGTCCCACGATCCCGCTGAGCCCCCGCCGCAGCCCGTGTCACTGGCCGTCCTGTATTCCAGGCACCGGCATCTTCAGCTTGCAGTTTCACAGCCGAGCGCATGCGTGAGTAGCGCTACGCTTCATGAATGGCCCCGTAGTCTTCTGGGACCTGTCACGTGTCCCACAAGACTACAGGGAGGGTGGGTAGGAGGACAACTTCCATTTTCGATCGCCTAGGTCAGTGGTGGGCAACCTTTTTTTTTCAACTGAGCCAAATCTCACCAAAACCACGATTGAAATTTATTTTGAGAGCCACATTTTTAAAACTGAAAATACATTCCCCATATAGTAATTCATCCCCCATATAGTAATTCATCCCCCATATAGTAATTCATCCCCCATAGTAATTCACCCCCATATAGTAATTCATTCCCCATATTGTGTCAATTCACTTACCTTTGCTCCGCGCGTTCCTCTCGCCGTGTTCCTGCGCCGTTCCGGTCTTCAGGGCGGACTGTGAGAGGAGAGGAGTTTGTCACACTGCCCCGCCTACATCCTGACAGCCAATGTTTGCCATGGTCCGCGGGCCGGATTAAAAGGTCCGCCGGGCCGTATGCGGGCCGTAGTTTGCCCATTGCTGGGCTAGCTGCAGAGTCCTGACTTTTGGGGCGGCCACCCGAGAGGAGGGAGGGGAGCGGGCGCCCGGCACACAGAAGAGCCGCATTAATGTGTGTAAAGAGCCGCATGTGGCTCGCGAGCTGCGGCTTGCCGACCACTGGCCTAGGTGAATGCAGTGGGAGTGGGTACTTGTCAATTTTGCTCCCCCCTGCTCCCAAAAGGTGCCAATCCTTAATGGGGAGCGGGGGACCAAGTCTGCTTTCAGCAGGTCAAGTGTATGTTAGAAGGAGGTTTGTTGCAGGTCAGTTGCACCTGTTAATGAATTTTGAATGATCTTAAAACGATTTCAAACTGATGCCTTTGACACAAGCCTAATGCCCATCAGCACAAGCCCTAAAGCTGGGTTCACACCTCTACGTGTTGTGATTGATGCGTTTTTCCAATGAGTTTTGCAGTGTGTTTTGTGTTTTTTGAATACGCATTCTGCTTTTTTGGGGGAAATACTACTTGAGTGCCAGAGAGTATAAAGTTGCATCAAAGTCACACTACATGAACAGAATTGTCATACTTTCCTACTAGCAGAAAACAAAAAATAAAAAGTTGCATCACACATCTCGCACACATCAAAGTCAATACTTTCCTATTGACAACAAAAAGACCCAAATCATATAAAAAATGCATTACATGCTTTTCTGCCGCATGTCCATTGAAGCCTTATGAACCAAAAAATGCCCATGTCCCTGACCCTTTCCAAAAATGCAGCGGCTGAAAAATGCCGAGATGTGAACGGGATCTTTAGGAAACCATGATAAATGGACTGTAGTGCATTCCTGTAAAATGCACTAAACGCATAGGCGTGAACCAGGCCTAAGGCTGTTTTTAAACTGATGCGGTGCGGTTTGACCACACTGCAGTGCAATGTACTCGTGTGTGTTTGGAGAAAGTTAGCTGCACTTTCCCATATGGTTATATGGTGCCCCACGTGTTTCGTGCACTTTCTGAACGCTCACCAAAGATACAGCATGCAGGAGTTTCTGTGCACTTTCAGAAAACGCACCAAACACGCGGGGGAATTGCTATGGGAAAGCATAGCTAACCTGCTCCAAACACACGAGTATACTGCGCTGCTCATGTGGTGCGATCAAACCACACTGCATGAGTGTGAAATCAGCCTAATGCAAGACTTTATTTTAGATAAATGAAAATCATGGCTGCACCAATTGTTTTTCTTGCACATTTTTTTATGAAGCTTTGAAATAGTTAACCCCTTTTTCTGCTACAAATGTAAGTCTTACAGCAGAACAGAACCAGTAGCACTTGCCCACCTCACTAAGCTTTATGTCACCTGCATTTCTTTCTGCTGTAAGTTCATAGATGCTTTGGATCCCATGACCTTATGGCAGAATTGTCCCCTAAACTCTGCTGCGATTAGAGGCTGACAAGCCATTCATTAAAGTGCAATTCCAGCTAACACCTAACTAGCCCCCTCCCCTCTCCTAACATCTTTGCTAATTAACCTGTGTAAGATATACCCACCTATATGTAGTCTGCTCCAGTCCAGTCATGTGATCTAGCCTCAATGTGTCAGCTATTGGGGCTGCAGGGGAGAGGAAGGAGCCCCAACAATGGAAGAGCCATTGAAGCCTATGAGTGATGTCACCATTCCAGGTTTGTCAGAGTGTTCTCTCCTCTCCCTGCAGCTGTCACTGGCTGAAAGGTGATCACATGACCGGACCAGAGCAGCTTGAAAATAGGTAAATATATACATCTTTCTTAGACAGGTTAACTAGCATACAGTGGATATAAAAAGTCTACACACCCCTGTTAAAATGTCAGGTTTCTGTGATGTAAAAAAATGAGACAAAGATAAATTTCAGGAAGATACATTTCAGAACTTTTCCCACCTTTTAATGTGACCTATAAACTGTACAACTCAATTGAAAAACAAGCTGTATCCTTTTAGGGGAGGAAGTAAACATACAAAAACTAAAATAATGTGGTTGCATAAGTGTGCACACCCTTTTATAACTGGGATAGAGTGGCAAGACGGAAGCAGGGGCGGACTGACCATTTGGAAACTCGGGTACTGCTCGAGGGCCCGGGGTCAGTAGTGGGCCTCATGAGATGCCCCTGGTACTTTTTTCATAGGCTTTTTTGAGTTTGGGCAAGGACACAGGGGCCCCATGATCTCCTATTGGCCGGGGGCCCCATGAGTTGTCAGTCCGCCCCTGGACGGAAGCCTTTTCTTATGAAGAAAAACATCCAAGCCCGGCTAAATTTTGCAAAAACACATCTGAAGTCTCCCAAAAGCATGTGGGTGAATGTGTTATGGTCTGAGGAAACCAAGGTTGAACTTTTTGGCCATAATTCCAAAAGATATGTTTGGCGTAAAAACAACACTGCACATCACCAAAAGAACACCATACCCACAGTGAAGCATGGTGGTGGCAGCATCATGCTTTGGGACTGTTTTTTTCTTCAGTTGGAACTGGAGCCTTAGTGTAGAGGGAATTATGAATCGTTCCAAATACCAGTCATTATTGGCATAAAACCTTCAGGCTTCTGCTAGAAAACTGAACATGAAGAGGAACTTCACCTTTCAGCATGACAACAACATACATTCAAATCAACAAAGGAATAGCTTCACCAGAAGAAGATGCAAGTTTTGGAATGGCGCAGCCAGAGCAGAGACCTGAATCCGATCGAAAATCTGTGCGGTGATCTGAAGAGGGCTGTGCACAGGAGATGCCCGCTCAATCTAACAGATTTGGAGTGTTTTTGCAGGGAAGAGTAATACAAATATTGCCAAGTTAAGATGTGCCATGCTGATAGACTCATACCCAAAAAGACTGAGTGCTGGAATAAAATCAAAAGGTGCTTCAACAAAGTATTAGTTTAAGGGTGTGCACACTTATGCAACCATATTATATTAGTTTTTTTTATTTTTATTTCCCTCCTCCTAAAAGATTTCAGTTTGTTGTTCAACTGAGATGTACAGTTTATAGGTTACATTAAAGGTGGAAAATGTTCTGAAAAGATTTCTTTGTCTCATTTTTTGATATCACAGAAACCTGACATTTTAACAGGGGTGTTTAGACTTTTTATATCCACTGTAGGTGTTAGAAAGGTGGGGGGGGCAGTGTTAAGGCTAGTTAGATGTAATCTGGAGTTAAAAATGTGACATTGTTCAAAAGTAAGTGCCATGCAGCAATGTGGAAGGAGATTTATAACTCAATCATATTCTCTATCTCAAACATGAATCATTTGGGGTCCACTGTTCCTCCCTCTTACAGAGTGTTGCTGTTAGAGGGATTAAAAACTTGGTACCAAATAAAATCAGCGTCTTACACAAATTCCATCTAATAGGCATTTAGTCATTTTTATTTAACACAAAAGCAGATTTATTGGCATTTATAACTTCCAGCTTTGATATAAGAAAAGAAACTAAAAAATTATCTTCCATTAAAACTGATTTTTAAAATCTAAATTTCTCCGTCATAAACAAAAAATGTTTCTCTTTTCCAGGACGACAATGGCTGAAAACGCAGATATTGCTACTCTAGAAGAAAGTTTTAAGAAGTTTGCAATCTATGGAGATACAAAAGCTACAGGTCAAGAAATGACTGGGAAAAACTGGGCCAAACTTTGTAAAGAGTGCAAAGTTATTGATGGAAAAACTGTGACTGGCACTGATGTTGACATTGTGTTCTCTAAAGTTAAGTAAGTGAAGGCTTTATATGATATATTTGCATTTGATTTTGCATCCAGGGCTATAAAGATGACCTATCATCTACACATAACAGCTCATCAAATCTCAAATTAAAAGGATCCAGCAGGTTACTTAGCACGTGTTCAAAGGCAATGTCAGTATCCAGGACAGTTTATTAGAATGCGAGTAGAAGAGTTACGAGTTTATTATCATAGTGCATGCCTCTTTTATGAGAACCAAAACTGATATTAAAATATCCCAGCATGCACCACCTATCATATTTAAAGTGGTTTTAAAGGCATCAGGTTTTTTACTTTAATGCCATCTCTGCATTAAGGTAAAAAACCTTCCAATATCAGCTCCCCCCAGCCCCCCTACACACTTACCTGCCTCCTCTTTCAATCCAACGCTGTGCTCATCTGCAGCAGTACTCCTCTCTCTCCCTTTTCTCACTGGACAGAGAGGCAGCAGTGGGGGCCATAGGCTCCTGTTGCTGTCAATCATATCCTGTGTTTACAAAAACACAGAACTCTGTGTACAGGGAACAGCGATCTGACCGTTTCTTCTTCCTGCAAAGCAGGGGGGAAAAAACAGATAGTGAAATAAATGCATCACATATTACACATTGTTAGGCACACAGTTATCCCCTTGATTGTTCCTAGATGTTAATTTCGGCCCAGTCAGTGTCATTAATACAGTATCAGTGTACAGTATTGCCACTGATCACCATATTAGTGTCACTAGAAATGACCCTCCCAGATAGTGTCTTAGCGTCAGATTGCCCGCCACCCTATCATTGTCACACTGTAAGTCTCTGATCACTGCCATTATAGTATAGCGTCATAGCTGCGTAAATTCTAGTATACATACACCATAGTTTGTAGACAATATAACCTTTGTACAAACCAATTAATATACACTTATTGGGATTATATTTTCCAAAGATATGTAGCACAATGCATTTTGGCCTAAATTTATGAAGACATTTTTTGATTTTTTTTATTAGATATGCTTTATAATAGAAAGTGGAAAATGTGTTTTTTTTCCCAAAAGTTTCAGTTTTTATATCGTAAAAAATAAAAAACGCAGTGATCATATACCACCAAAAGAGAGCCCTATTTGTGTGAAAAAGATAATAAAAATGTAATCTGCGTACAGTGTTGCATGACCGCGCAATTGCCAGTTAAAGTAGAGCAGTGTTGATAAGCAAACAATTATCTGGTCATGAAGGGGTAAAACCTTCCAGAGGTCAAGTGGTCAAAGTGAAACTAAACTCAACCAATCAACATTACCAATCTTCACTATTTGTAATCCGTATTCTGCTAGCATTAGTAAGTAGATATGAAGGTATATTATATTTACTTGTTTTAAACTTTTTCTTCAGTTGCTTCCTGGTTTTTGGCCTAGGCCAAAATGCTGTCATACATCCCAGGAGTCTTCATGGGTATTTTTTTTTCATCTGGGGAGGTGAGGAGGGGCTTTGTTAGCTAAGCATAAGCACGCTATCCTGTCTCCATGCCTGAGCTAAAGGCAGATGGATTCCAGGAAGTAAATGCTACATTAATCATGTGCCCCTTAATCAAGATGGCCACAGCTAGTGACTAATCAACAAAATAAGGCATAGAGACATAGATGGATGGGTGAGTTTGCTTTGAATATTAAAACAAATTAAATAGCGTTTTCAGTTAGTGGTGCTCAGATACAGTTTAGATCTGCTTTAAACTTTGTATACATGTATCTTATTTTAGGTAAAGGATTCAGACTACTTAATAAAGTTAAATGTCATACAACATTTTAAGTATAAGTGGTCTACAGCTGCACTTCTCCCACAACTGTATTTCCTCTAAGTGACCCATGTTATGTATTAAATGCCTTACGGAGGGCTGACAGTTTTATTAATAGATAAACCCTATTAAGACCAAGCAACACGTTATACAAAAGGAGACAAGAAGATAATATTCCAAACAAAAATAAAATTCCAAAAAAAGATAAACATAACCAGAGACAAAAACTGAATATTGCATTCAGAACTGAGTGATAACTTATATTATATTTGCTCATATAAGAATAATTATTTTTGATGCAAAGGAAACATAGTATTCCATGCTGTACATGTGTACTGGGTTACAGGTCACAAAGCTCTTATTAACAAGTGCTTCTAAAAGGAACTTGATTATCTACAGGAACTTATGTCAGTCCTTTGACCCTTTTGGATATGAAAACTTAGTCAACCTGTCATAAACTTGAAATTCAAACACAGCATATGATGAAGAAATGCATAAGCAAAAGTTATCTTCAATAAACACGACTTGTCCAAAGATCCAGATGTCATCCAAAGTTATAAACGTCAACTTTTTCTTAAATAAAGGAATGCGCTAAAACCACAAACTATTCCTAATTTAGTGTAGAAACATTAGTTCCAAAGATATATATATCTATTCTCAATTAATATCAAAAAATATCAAAATTATGTGCAAAACTATTTTTTAGTGCATAAGTAATTTAAATAATTAAATTTGTGAATATAAACATTGTCCAATTCTGAATTTCTTCAAATGTCCAAACAAATCCTTTTCAAATTCAGGTGCTCTCAAAGAAATTGTGCCAAAATCCACCACCAAAGTAAAGTTGGGTAACTCACCAGAGCTCCATGCTGATCAATCTCTAGATCAGCAAAAAACGCTTTTTGCTCTGGGAGCAGATGCAATAAATCAACTTCTCAGGTGTGATGATCAATAGCTACACAATCATCCATACGGTAGGTATCCACCACTCAATATAACGGTTCCAGGAGCATTATATCACTCTCTCTTTTTATATCTCTCCATCGAGGTCATGTTTAGGAATGAAAGAAAAAATCATGGCGCAGCCAGTTTTTTTTATAAAAGTATCCAACAATTTAATAAAGATTTACACTCACAAAAAGGGTGTCTTCACCGACACCAGTATAACAGCATAAAACAGCAAATGGTATAACAGTCTCCTGTTCCCCGCATACTCACTACAGCGCTCGTGACTCAATCCTCTCCACAGACGTCAGCATCCAACAAGCCAAGCCCACTCCCTTTGCCCCACTCCCTCCTGCTGTCCCAGACTTGCAGTTGGTCATTGAGGCTATGCCCTATGGTAAATGATCAACAGTGAGGGTCAGGTGTGTCAAGCTTGACTCATATAGGAAGGGACAAGAATAATGAGTTTGAATTGTCTCAGTTTGTGACAGTTATACTACCTTTCTACTGCATGTCTAGTTAGAAGCTAGAAATAAGGATAGCTTCATACTGAGAACATGTATGTTCAAAATACAAATTATACAAATAAAGTGTTATTGCATTCCAGACAAAAGACGGCCAGAGTCATTACCTATGAAGAATTTAAGAAAGCACTTGAAGAGCTCTCATCAAAGAGATTTAAAGGAAAAAGTAAAGAGGAAGCCTATGAGTCAATCTGTAAACTTGTGTCCGGGAGAGAACCTGCTAGCATGGGAGTTACGGTATTAAGATTTACCATTTGTATTATCATCACTGTAAAACTCATAATATGCATTCTTTGTATCCTATCAGCATAGCATATGCAGTTAAGAGGCCATTAATACTGTGCTGATCTGTGCATTGATATTCAGAATGATAGGAGTAGAAAAAATGTCATATGTGAATTCACCAACACTATTATATTTATTGGTTTCTCCAAACTCTCATAGGAAGGTCCAAATGCCCTTATTTTTACCCACCTTGACCATCCATATCTTAAGATCAGCACCCAAAGCAAACATACTTGCTAGATCGTGTTTTAATTTTTAATGATTTGCCAAGGCATCACACAATTATATTAAAGCAATAGTCACTCAGCTTAAGGCTGAACTTAATCTGCCTATATCCCCCCATCCCAATTTACCTGTTATGCTGTGTTAAATTCAAACTACACCCTCACCTGCCCAGCAGACCCAGCATTGTCCTGCTGTGATCCTCTGTATCTGTGTCCTGCGTAATTGTCTAGGTCCTCTTCAGCTTGCAGCCAGCCCTTGATGACGAGACAGCTGCACCCCAACCCATTCTCTAAATGGGCTCCCACAGCCTTCTTGGAAATGTGAGCTTTACATGGGTCTGGAGAGGCATGGAGCAGGACATGTCATTTTGGCTTAGGCCACAATAGCAGTGGGAGGAGAAAGGGAGGGGGGGTCAAGACCAAAAAAAAGAAAATTCCCTAGTTTGCCAAGTACAACTTCCAAAATCATCCCACATTGGTGAAAGAGGGCCTCCTCTCAAAGTTTAGGGGTGCCACTGAACTTGCACATGATGGAGCACAGCAAAAAAGGGGGGACACATTAAATACCTTAGATGTACATATCTTCTTAACACTGCTAGTTTAACAAACCAGTCCCAAAAAGGTGTAGCTTTATAAATGACTGCAGTGTTTACCAAATATGGACAAATTTGGGATTTTGTTTTTTTTTGCCATGGTTTGGATTTTTTTTCAGGATTACAGTATAACCTGGTTATATAGATAGGCCTAATCTTGGCTATTGGTGTAAAAAAAAGGTTTTAGTTTCTAAGTGTAGCACCCTCCTAGAATAGGTGCTAGGATGTACGTAGTTAGATTCGTGTAGTTTGCTCATCTGCCTAACAGGGGAGCTAATAGGGAAATTTATCCTTAGCACTCAGCTTAACAGAGTTCTGCAGTCTATCAGTCAGGGCTGCTCGTGATGCTCTGGTGCTGTTTAAGTGTGCCTTCTCCTGCTTTCTGGAAACCACTAGAGCTTTCCAGAACATAGGTGGGTGCTAGGCAAATGAACAGCATAAATATGAATACAGCTCTGGCCAATTACAGGGGAGGGTGGCCCCCTTGCATGCTGGGAGTAGTTATTTTTATTTTGGGAGCACATGGGCTCAGTGTCCTTCCCAGAGTGGATAGCACCAAGCCAGGGTCGAGGCAGGCTTGTCTCCCCTGGCACCTACTGCCAAGAGGCCTCAGGTGGGAGACCTGAGGGCCTGAAACTGGAACTGACAAGTGGGCCTGGTTCTCCTAAAAGCTGACTGAGGGGGAGTCCACTGAAAATCCGTCTGGTATCACTGAGAGAGGATGTCAGTTGTTCTACAAGAGCCTGTGAGTACAGACATTGTGGGATCTCAGGGACCTTGTGCTGATAACCCCCCTCTGCTTTCCTATAGTCAGCTAAGGGCCCAGTTAAAGGAACTACTGGCTAGTGGTTCGAAGAGCTCTGTCTACCTGCCACTTACTGCTAGGAACTTTGCTCAAGCTTCTTTACTACTACACTGCCATTACAGGAGAAGTCTGCTATCTGCCCCCAGCAAGGGACTTCACCTAAGGCTCCATCTTAGAACAGCTAGTGTCCTCTAGTTTTGTGTAGGAGTTTCCTATCCAACCCCCTAATCGTATCCACGTTCCTCTAAAATAAAACTACAAAACAACTCCCCTAGACTGGTCTTTGACGCCAATGAGCTAAAAATGTATGCATCTAACTGTGGGAAAATATCTTGTGCCTGGCTGTCAGCTAGTAGTGGGCAATACTCGGGCAATACTCAAGCAGCTCCTATGGGGGTAGTGCTACATAAGTAATTTTCATTTTTCAGCTCAATTTTTTTCATAGTCTTAGATGGAGCGAGGAAGGGTTAGAAACTCTGTCAGGTGATTATGTTTGTCTGTGCCCCTCATTGGGGAGATTCAGTCTCTCTATTTGTTCTGCCAAACATTGTCTTTAAAAAAAATGATAGCAAATCCAGTAGGTAAGGGGAAATATTCCAGTGGGGACACTTGTTCTCATAACAACTTTAGGGAGATTTAATCTCACTTCCTGTTGTTTTTCCAATAGAAAGCGATGGGAAATCTTCCTGAAATTGCAAAAACAGCAAAAAAGAAACTCTAACACTACTCAAAACAAAAAAAAAAGTCTTAAAATATTCTCTGCTGCTTATTTTGCTGTGTTTCTGTTTTTTTTTTTTTTTTTTTCTGTAAAATGTACTCAATATCATACCATATAATTTATTTCCTTTCTATAGAAAGCTGCAGCAACTGGAGCTGTGGAACGTCTTACAGACACATCCAAATACACAGGATCCCACAAGGAACGCTTCGATGAGAGTGGAAAGGGAAAGGGTAAAGGTGGTCGAGAGAACCTTGTGGAAAACACTGGTTATGTAGGTGCATACAAACATGCTGGCACTTATGATGCCAAGGTAAAGAAATAGAGATTCCGCAAGAGGAGACATCCTACCTTAACTCCTGCATAGACATATTTGACCTCTTTGCTCCCAGTGGTGAAAAGCAGTCCACAGCGGTAGTGATGGTGATAATGGTTCTATCCTGGTCCCTTAAAGCACCAAAGGAGCTAGTGACAAGTGAATGATTTGTGAAGTAAAAAATATCCTTACCTTTTTATTTTGCTAATTCCAAAAACAAGAATGTGTTCAGATGACGTCATGCAAGTCGATACAATGGTTAGTTGGGTTTGAGGTACTGTATATGTATTGCTGTTTCTGAGTAGCAGCTGGCTATATTCACTGATCAATTATCACTTATTTATGTCTGAAAATTATCTGTTATAGCTATCTTGTTCTGTGATGCTTTCAAAGGCTCTTGACGTTTTTAAAGTAGGCACAAATATACAACAATACCAACAGTGCTGGGATATTGTGTGCAGATAAAGCAGCTGTATACCAATCCCTGAATGGGTAATTCTCCAACCACACTTTATGTTTTACAGCACTAATCTGCTTGCTTTTACTTTTGTCAACAGCACAATTAAGTCAAGGGGTATTGTGCATGTTTATGAAGAAAAAAAAATAAAATGTAAACCAGTACTCAATAAAGTGTCCATGCATTATAAGACTAGGTTCACACCTAAGCGCTTTGCTGTGTGTTTTTGCATTTTACAGAAATGCACTACAGTCCATTTAACATGGTTTCCTATGGAAAACATACACGTCTTCACGTTTTCACCCAATGCAATTTTTGGAAAGGGTCAGGGACTTTTTTGAATGCAAAACGTTGCGTCTTGGTTCAATAGACTTCAATGGAGATGCTAAAGAAATACATGTAGTGTTTTTGATATGTTTTTGATGCATTTTGCGTTTTTAATATACCCAGCAACAAGTTGGCCTAAAAAATAAAGAAAACTGCGAAATGCATCAAAAACGCAAAATGCATCAAAAATACATATGCAAAAATGAAAAACTCACCGCAAAAAGCACTTCAGAAATAGATCAAACACAAACTGCATAGGTTCGAGCTAGGCCTAGCAGTCTTTCATATGTGCATAATAACCAATGACGTAGCGCAATAGCATTTTATGGCTTTGGCTATTAGGCACATTTGAAAGACTGTTTAATTGCATAGACACTTTATTGAGTACTGGTTTAAATGTTATTTGTTTCTAAGTAAGGACTACATTTTATAAAAACTGTAAAGGCCTGAAGTGAATATTTGGAGAAAAAAAAATTCCTTTTGTTGCAGACATCACCAGGTGTCTCTATAGGTTATTTGGGTGCCTGATTATCTGGGTGCTCTGATCTGTACATGGTGACCAGTTTCCATGGCCATTGACTCTCTAACTTCATGCACCTCACTACTGGCTTATCACTTCGATGGCCATCTAATAGTGAGGCACAGGAGGGTAAAAGGTTTGTGACCCTATGATCCCATAGCTTTCTGCACTTCCTGGGCTACACTAGAAAGAAATATACTCTGGATAAGATAAGTATTAATTCAGTTTTTTTTCTCCAAAGTTTCACTTTAGGTTGGTCAAAACTATAAGATGGTGACTGTTGTGTTATCTTTTGAATGATGTTTGCATAAATGTACCTATATTAAACAAGTATGCAAGTGTTAGTACTGTGAAGGTACCACCACCACTGGCATAATCTAAGAAAAACAACGGCAATTATCCAGGAAAATCCAGCCTCAGCGATCAGTTTTTTCTCCCAAGGTGGTCAGCCAGGACTGCAAAGGTTGTAATGTGCCCACAGGCATGCACTTATGTTGCAGTCTGAATATCATCAGCCAGATTGGTAATGATCATTACATTTTAGGCTTTGTCTATGCAAACATTTATAGACCGCTGTAGATGTAGAACTGAAGAGTTTATGGTCCCTGAATGCAAAAATGAGTGCAGTCTAATCTTCAGATGCAAGTAATACCATAATGGCACATTAAGAGTAGTACATACTAATCCAAAATTGTCCATGGTCATAAGAAATCCAGGGACTGCCACTGTCAACCTTCTTAGCTGAAAGCTATTGCCTGGCTTCCATGCTGATCCACTGGCTTAGTACTTGCCACTTAGCCATGTATGCATTTCAATGACTCAGAAACCACTGAAATCAGAGGATCCACATGTCATCTGGACAACACACATTTTCATAAAGGGGCTAGCAGTGGCTCCCAAGACAACTGTACTGATACTGTGGTGCCTGGGAATTTGAATAAAACACTTCATCAATTTAATTGAATAAAACAGGTTTGCTACATTGTTGGCTGATAATAACACACACAAATGTTCCATAAATGAGTGTATAAATGAACAGCAAATAGCATGCTATTTTATAAAACAGGATCCTCTTCTGGCTGCACAGCACAATGTTAGTATATACTCAATGAAAAAGGAAAAAAGGGAATGTTTTCTGTAGGCTGTTACATTAGCTTTAGTCACATATTGCCTCATGCCTTAAAATTCCCATTTCATTCTCTCACATTGTGGTGGAAGTTGAATACAAATCTGATTGGTTGCTATGGGACATACATTCAGAAATGGAAAACTTCATTGGAATTTAGATTGATGTACACTGAAGCTATGTTGTCCACAGCAACCAATTAACCCATTTCAATTCCATAAACTGCACTATAAAATGACTGGTGAGATCTCGTTCCTTTAAATACGGGCATTTCCTTATCCGGTTTTCAGAAGACAGCCCAAGTTTGTTTAGTAATCGATTCTAAGTAAATTGACTGAACATGACATAAAATGCAACTTTTTATTAGTTTTAAGCAGTTTTCAGATATTTTTTGCCATCAAATATATTACAAATTTTCACAAAAATCATTTGACAAATGACACACTTTTGAGATTTATAACTATTTCACTTGAATAAAAAAGGCACTATAAAATGACTGGTGAGATCTAGTTTCTTTAAATACGGGCATTTCCTTATCCGGTTTTCAGAAGACAGGCCAAGTTTGTTTATTAATCGATTCTAAGTAAATTGACTGAACATGCAATAAAAAACTTTTTATTAGTTTTAAGCAACTTTTTATTAGTTTTAAGCAGTTTTCAGATTTTTTTTGCCATCAAATGTATTACAAATTTTCACAAAAGTCATTTGACAAATGACACACTTTTGAGATTTATAACTATTTCACTTGAATAAAAAAGGCACACTTAATAAAGGAAAGGCCTATGTGTGAAAATTTGTATGATGACAAAATGCACTAATAATCTCCTGGCAATACATATGATGTTCTGCTGTTAGGTAATATTTGGTACCAGAAGGAATGATTCCAGTAGGGCATGAGGAATTGGAGGATGAAAGCAGCTAAAGTAGGGTATCACTCTCATGACCTTCGTTTGCATCAGAACTACTTCTTTAGCCACTCTGCAGGAAAATTGGAAGACCTCACACCAGCTATTTGCAACCTCTTTTTTAGTCATTTATAAAGCTGGTAAACAAGAGATGAATGGAGAACTGAAATGCTCTCTATGATTAAGTGCAGGTGAGCATGAATGAAACACCTCCTAGTCCTCCATTCATCTCCAATGTATTGCTTTTATGAATGAATAAAAAAGAAAGAGGTTGGAAATAGCTGGTGGGTGGTCATCCAGTTTTCTTGTACAGTGGCTGTCCACAAAAAAGATGGACGGGCATCTGGCTACAGCGAGCAGGTGTGGGCCAGACTGACAAATTGTTTCTTTTGCTTCTCTCACCATTCTTGTGGAAATATAGGGCAAATGTAAAAATGAAAAGGAGCTTATTTGCATTTCAGATGCACCTAGTACTACATTCAGGATGATCCTAAAAGCATCTCAAACTGATCTCAAAAGCAAGCTCATCGACACAGCCCAAACCCGTCAACACAGACCTATTTAGATTTGGTTTTGCCCAACATGTGCTTACCTCCCAGCTTTATGATGATAAAGAGAGACACTTTTTAGCATACAGTATGTACGCAAAAGACACATCCCTGCCACGCCTGAGGTTAGATGGACCACAAAGATTAATATGCAGGAAATAATTAACTAAGCCACACAAGTGCTTTTTTTACCTCCTTTTTTTTTTTTTTTTTTGTATTTTTCGTTTTTGCTGGCTGTTCAAAATAACAAATGCAGTAATATAGAGGTTGGATGAAAAGTTTAGACCAACATAAGACTTTTGGTAGGAAAATAGTACGTTTAGTATACAGATGTACACATCAAACTTAAAAGGATAGCTGAGGCTACACAAGGGGCAGAGGATTTGGTCTCAAAAGAGGGACAGTCCTTTCAAATGAGGGACACTTGAGAGCTATTCATGTGTGTGTTCAGTAGGTCATTTGTCTGGTATTCACCGTGTACTAAATTTCACAAACTCCCCTTTAGAATTGGCCACAGTTATATATTTGGTATCATAGAAAAACTGGAAGAAAAGAGAAGTGAAATTGCTTCCCACTAAAGCCAACCAGATGCTTGCTTTCATTACTGATCTATTCTATAAAAATGCCTTTTATTGTAACATATAATATTTTAATTCTGTGTTAGCACAACAAACTAATAGTATATATTATTTTACACAAGTTGGTTGAATTATTAAAGGTAAGGTTGCACTATGCATGGGAATTTTCCCCGGAGCTTAGTGAATAAGCTGCAGCTCTGCTGACTTCCATCATCCAATCATGTGCAAGGAAAAAACACTTTGTTTTCCTTGCATGTGATTGGGTATGTGATTTCCCACATTCACTAAGCTGTGCCAAAAGTTTACTTTGAAAGTGCAACTTCCCTTGCAAAGTGAACAACCCATTTGCTTTTAGTAAATCAACCCCTATATGTTTAGTGCTAGCTAATTAAAATAAAAGAGCCATATTGTGTCATTTCAGATGCACAGTTTACTTCCTTTGTTACCAGTTTAGTGAATTATACCATGTTAGGTATTGATAACATTGTTACAGATGATTATATAATCTGTCCTTGCTATGCAGTGAGTTAACTAATGAAACTCTTGGT